GTTAAGCTTCTGTTCAATGCTGATTTGTTTGGCCAGGTCTGGATAGGACCTCTGGATAGAGGTCAAATTTAAATTTAACTAGTACTGTGGTATCTGTACCATGGAATTTATTTTCCAGAGCAGTTGTTAATTCACTTCTTAGCTTACTTTCCTCCCAAGTTTTTCATTCTGTTTGCCAGTTTCCCTCCCCAATTTTTTCCAATTTTTTTTTTTTGCCTTTAGTAACATCTTGCCAACTTCCTTCCCATTTTTTTTTTCTGCAGTCACTTATATATGAAAATGGCCAAACAGCGGTGAAATAGAAAACACTATTTCACCTTCTTCAACTTACACAGTAAATATTTTTATTACAAAGCAGATGCAGTAGCTGTCATGACAAATGCTTAATGAAGACCATTGTGGGGTTACAAAAGATCACAACTTTGTAGAAACCAATTACTTACCCTTGACCTCTTTTTACATTCCCTACCCCACCTCCCACCATACACTATCATAATAGTCAATTATGTCTCCAAACCCAGTTACTTTTATAATAGAGTGAGTCACTGAATGAAGACAGCCAGTAACTTGTTACCCTCCTTAAAAGGTAAGTAAATGAATAAGGGTCATTTTTTTTAAACTAATAAAGTCTTCAGGACTGGTTATAAAATTTGCAAATATTTAGGAGAATCCTAGGGGAAGTTTGGGCACATGCAAAGAGAAAAATGGGAGAGGAAATTAATGGACGCATGAATTTAACATGGTATTTAAAAAAAAAAATTACTGAACTAGGAATCTACTCTACCATCATTTAGATTCAAAGTAGGTTACAAAATGCAGCACATGGAGATGCTCCTAAATGAGGAAGTCTAAAGATGAAAAATCTGAGCACAACTTGTTCACTTCTGTTTACATGTGACAAGTTTTTCTATCAGCACAGAACTGTGCCAGTGCCTTTCCTATGATAAAGTCTTCAAGCCATCCCACTGAGTGAGTTTTCAGCAACAATCTGAAATCAGAAAACTATGTGAAGTATGTGATGTGTGTTTTTTCCTATCCAAGCAAATTTACAGCTAACTGCCCACTCCTCTGACACCAAACATCATTACATACGCAAGTGCTTTATAGATATTAGAGCTAAACAAAAACACAAAAATGAGGAAGAAAATATTCTGTTCTCATCTCTAGTTCCAAGTCTAGATGTAGCACATTAAGAAACAGATCAACTTTGGCAGTTGAAATGAAAACATATTGAATCATGAATGTTTGTATTTGCCGAGGGGCCAGATAGAGAACACACTGAGGGATCCTTTGTTGATGCCAGCTACTTAACCTCAAGGATTCTGCAGGTGTTTCATGTTCGAACACTTAAAACTCCTCCACACATCACCAAAAAATAAGTTTTATTCTGAAAAGTTCTCACTAACATTTTTTCACAGGTGAGAATACTTGTTTAGAGTAAAAGTTCTCGCTAACATTTTTTCACAGGTGAGAATACTTGTTTAGAAGTAACAATACAAAACTAGAAACGCTGTCAATGAAAATAGGGGAAACTTTTGATTTTTGACTGCTAAGATAGCCTTAGCATTTTTAATTACTTTTCTCAGCAATTAGTACTGCCCTGTAATTGTCTCCTTAATTTCTGAGACTGTGAAGCTGCAGGAGAATATTTTCTAAGCAAAATTCTGAAAACTGACACACCTACATCAAGATATTTCTGAAACAGTCATCCAATAAGAATTTACCTTTCTGCCTATCATTGTGCTAGGTGGAGTATAACAAAATAAATTTTTTAGAATCACTGTTCTCAAGGAATTTGCTATGAAGCTGGAGAGATAACAAGAAACATTCAGCAAAGACAACAGCATATATAAGTGTACTCATTGTACTCCCTATATTTGCCAGTTTAAAATAAAAAAAAAAAAAGGAGATTTTGGACATTTCACTTCTTATTAAATGACTAGGAAGACCCAACTACTCAGCTGAAAAGTCAGCAGGACTGACCTGTGTTTCTCATCATACAGTTTCTTCTGTCCTAAATACCTGCTTCCATTTTTACTTACCTTCCTGGGTGTTCACCTTTAGAGAAAATCTTTCCTGAACTGTACAAATAAGCTAAAAGCCTGATGGAGGGCTTTTAGTCTAACAGTATCTCTACCTCAACATTTGCTATAGTGTACTGAAAAGGTCTCGTTATATATATTTCACCAAAACTGTAAATTCTTAGAGGGAAAGTTAATAAAGTTTTTCTTTTTGTGCCCATCCTGCTCCCACCAGAATGAATAATTACCTTAGTGTCACAAAGGTAAGGGCACATGTAATGTTGTGGATGGGGTATGAAACAGTCACAGAAACTGGGGTAACTTTCCAACCCCATTGCCATTTCTAGAATATGGAACAATGTGCCTATACTTTAAATATTCAGGATTTTATGCCATCTCTTTCTTCCACAGAAAACCCCAACTTTTGTACACTGGGCAACACTCATAATTTTCTTATACATTATGCATATAATTTATCTTATACATAAGAGAAAACATAAATTTTCTCTTATCACTGCTCTGCCCACAACAAAATTCATCTGATGACTCCACAGTTACCATGGTTCTTCTCAATTTCAAGACAATAGTAACACAAAGCAACTGTTACATGTACTTATCTTACATCTTGCTCTCTAGCAGCAAATGAGAACAGAAACAAGCTAATATTTACTGAAGTTAACTAGCACTAGATGTTACTTTAGGAATTTATATTTAATCTCATTCAATTTCCTCAACAATCCAGGGACCATTTACCCTTACCAATCTCCCACTTGTTGATATCAACCTACCCATCTCTTTACAATCATCAGTTCTATTATTAATCAAAAAATTCCTCCAAGATCATAAATTTCTCTCATCACTGTTGAAATTCCAAGTGAATTGTCTAATCCCAAGACATTAGCCTAGTGTCTCCCCCAGAGTTGATTCCTTACATCAGGTAGATCCAGGTCACTATCCATTCTCCCACTTCTTCCTATAGAAATGACTTTCTACTAGAACACCAATTACAATATTTATTGCTATACCTTTCTCCTACTAGTCATGAACCTCTGAAATATACAGATCTTGTTCCATTTATATTTTCAAAAATGTAGCAAGTCTCAAATGTTTTTAAAATAAATATTTCTTATATTCTTCTAGTTTGAGTTAAAGCACAAAAGGCCATATATTATAAAATTCCTTTTATATGAAATATTCAGAATAGAAGATTTTCAGACAGAGGACCACTTAGGAGTGGATACGGTGAGGGAATTTATTGCTACTAGAGTTTTGTTAGAAAAGTTGAAATTGTGGTCTTGGTTCTACAACTCTGAGAATATACTGAAAAACACAGAATTACAAAAACCTTTAAAAATAATTTGAGGCTGGCCACACAAGAATTAGGAAAAAAAGCAATATTATATTCTTCTCCCTCTTATCCTTTGCCTTCATTATTTCTAACAGTTTTAATGAGATGTAATTCCTGTACCGTACAATCCTTTATCAAAACATAAGAACCCCTTTAGAAAATGACTATGTGTTATTCAACTTGGTATCCCCAGGATCTAGACCATTACTCAGAAGTTAATACATGCTTATTCCCAAGGATAAGGGACTTCCAGCTTCAAATTTATTGACAGTAACATATTTATGCTATATCTGGGTTAGATATATTTTGATAGGTTTAACATGGAGAGCAAATCACCACTTACAAAAATTTTTTTCTATGTGAAAAGGTACAAAGAAAAAAACAAAGTCCATCAGAAACTTAACAATACTTCTCCACTAGTAAATAATTTATCTTGTGAGCTCCTACCACTCTTACACCGTAGGTCCTCCTTGAAAAATATCTAGAAACACTCTGATATATTTTTTTAAATAACAGAGTCAATATGTCTCACAATGTCCAGGTTGCAAAATGCTATTCCCAGGAAGAAAGAACTTTTGAACAATGAAGAGTTGAAAATAGAAAAATATTTCTTCAATGAGAAATCAATATTTTTCCCAGACAGCTTTTATTTTCATTATGCTTTCAGGGTATATATAAAATAAGGAAATGGAACTTAAGCTACTGTTGAATGAGCTAATATATACCTAGAGAGCCATTTGTACAAGTATACAGCCCTCGTTTGTAAGAATTATAACTTCTATCTAATATTCAATTAGTCCTTTTCTATTTTAAGCACTACATTTAAAATTTCATTTTATTCCCACTATAATTCTTTTCATAAAAGGTGATATAAAGGAATCCATTAGTGCCATTTCCTAAAGATAGTGATTTTTGAATCATGATTACTATTCAGGAGATATTTCTGGTAAACCTGCTAATGATATACTCCCTGCCCTAAAATTTACATCAATAACTACCAAACCCTTCATCATGTAATTTAAATATTGAATAGCATGAAACTCACATACTGGCTTCACTCAGAATACTTTATATGTTTGCAGATAATCAGCTCTGCCCAATATTATAAAATAGGTCAGCAGCATCAGCATTTTGCCTGTTTCAGAGAATAACCAGCACTAGAGGGAATATGGTTGGATTTTCAGAAAGGAAAAAAGACAGAATCATAATTTTATTTCTGGTTCTCCATTAGAATGGCAATACTTGTTCTTTAGGCTATGGTTTTATAAGAATTGTTCAAATACTAACGTAATTTTGTACTTTTCAAATATCTTTTTTTAAATGTATGCCATATCAGTGTCCACTGAGGATATTTACCTCACTGATGTGTAGGGAAAAAAACTCAAAACTTCATACTTTATTTTATAGCAAAAGCAGTCCATCATTTAAAAAAATAAAATCTCTTTTATATCTTTGCAAACTTTTTAAAGCAGTGATCATATATATTTATTGATTTACTCACAGTATTATAAGGTCGAAGGATACTTGAATAATGTGTTAATGTATCCAACTGATTGAATAAGGAACTAAATAAATATAGTAGTTTGAAAGTTACATATACGTAATTATAAATTTTTAACATAATTACTTACCTCTTCTAGTTGGCATGCTTTGATGACACTCCTATATCTATACTCATCATAAGAAACACCAAAGACGATGTTCTCTTTAATAGTACCAGGCATAATCCAGGAAAACTGTGAACAGAATGAAATTCTTCCACTGTGTTTAATTTTACCCTCTGAAGGCTCCAGTTCTCCCATTATCATCATTAGAAGTGAAGTCTGGAAATAAAAAACACTGTCATTAAGTCATTTGAGCAAATCATTTTCATAACGTACTTACCTCTAATTGTCAAACAAAGCAGAAGGGTCTAATCTGCTTTTATAAGAGTCTATATTAACTCATTTAAGTCAAAATTTATTAGCCACCTTCTCCCTGTTCCAGATTCTTGGCTGTGCACAAAGACACAAAGTGGGATAAAAGAAACAATCACAACAGCATGTGAAAAATGCTATGAAAGAGGCTCTCAAAGAAGGAATACCTAATTCAGATTTCTGGCATAGGTCTGGGGGGTATCAGGGAAAAGATTAGTAGCAAATAACACTTGTCAAGGGCTTACTCTGTGCTGGGTATTATTCCATAAGATTTACATGTGTTCATTTATTTAATCTTCACAATAATCCTATAAGGTAGAATCAATATTATCTTCATTTTATAAAGGAGAAATTAGTTGACAAAAGATAGTGTTTGGTAATATTGTTTCCACAGCCCTTCTTTAAAAAAAAGCTATTATGAAATCATCAAAGAGATGACTAAGAACCAGCAGTGGAAATATCCTTGAACAAATACTATAGGTAATCATGGATTAAATTTAAAACTAATGTGACAATTCGAGTTGAAGCACAGAATTTAAACATTTCCTATTTCCTGAAGCCAAAAAAAATTGTTATAAATAAAAACAAACAAAACAAAGAAAATGGGGTGTAGAGGAATTTGCCAATAGCTTTATCAAAAAAAAAAAAAAAGCTAGAAGTCAAGGATTTATTAACAGGAACAAATCAAGTAATAGGAGCATAACCATATTTAACAATACAAAGATAAATATTAAGAAAGATACTACTACTAAAATTGAATAAAAGAAAAGGTAACAACTGAAATAAAAACACCAATTTTATAGAACTAACAGTAGTGAACTAGAGACCATAAATTTAACATAAAGTTATTATTATAAATCTAGCCACTAAAAAAACACAGACCTTGATCAAAATCATAACTAATCCACACACATATACATAAGTCACATATATATCCAACACACTTTAGAAAAAAGAAAAACACAAAATAAAACATAAATATCATAGAATTCAAATGAAGCATATCTATAAAATAAGGAAATAAAAATCAGCTAAAGAAAGTGATGGTTGCCAAATGATATTAGTGTACTTAAAGCCATTGACTGCACACTTAGAAATGCTGAAAATGCATCTGAAGAGGTGTGATCCTCCTATGCCTTTGAATCACATATGTGTTTATAAACAAGTTACCCCAATTAAAATAATAATAATTATAAAGATGGTAAATTTTCTATTTTCTGTATTTTACTACAAGTATTTAAAAAAAAAAAAAACCTTAGAAACAAATTCCCAAAATACATTAGGAATTGAATTAAAAAAGTTTGAGGACATGCTTTGTAAACAGAGTAACATAAATCAGTTTATATTTTTTTAAAGGTTTATTTATTTATGCATAAAGAACTGAGGTACAGGCCAGAGGTGCAGGGGTGATGACAGGATTCACCAGAGACAGAGTGGAGAGCAGAATAGGCAGATCCAGAGAGGAGCAGTGGGCGGGCCAGAAGAGGTCTGCCGCACCATGTGGGTCACCTCTAGGGCTGGGGATTGAAATCATGCTGAAGTGGCTTTAGCTTCTTAGTGCTTTGCTTCAACCCGCTGCACCACCAGGGAGGGCCCTAAATCAGTTTATTTTTTTAAAGTTAAGCTCAAATATTTTTAAAAGGTGTTCAGATCAAATTAAAATAAATACAACTCTAATGTAAATAAAAGACACAGCTAAAGAAAAATGATTCATACAAGTTGGCTTAAAAAAAAAAAGCAATAAATGTATAACCAAAGGAACAAAAAGGGCAATGATTTTCATAATGAATAAGGTGGAAATTAGGGCTAAAGATACCCACTGAAATAAGGAAAAGTACATTAAGGTACTGAAGAATATAGTTTTAAGTAGCTAGCCACTAAATTTTAAAGAGTATATTTATCAATATCTAGCCATTCAATTTATAAAACAAAAATTCCAGAAACTTCTTCAGACCAGAAAAAGGAAGAAGAAATGTAAGTAATATTAAAATCTACATTACAATAAAAAATAAAGACACCACCTTGCCAGCTCCAGTAGATCCAGCAACTGCCAACAACTGTCCTCTCTCTATCTTGAAATTGATATCTTTCAGGACAGGTGTGCCAAGAAGTGAGAAGTTACTGAAGAAGAGGCTGTTATCACCATTGGAAATGTTTCTACTGTTACTATTTTGTTTTGCTTTCTCAAATAATCCTCCAAATCCCTTCAAGAAAAAAAAAGCAAATTAAAAAGGTTTTCAGAAAAAAAAGTTTTTCAGGTTTTTTCAACAGCTATTTGTTTTATGGATGATTAATTTAAAAGACACATGATCCATATTTCATAACAGATAATTATACAGAATATGAGTTCTATAACACATGATAAAAGCATTTGAAAAATAGAATACTGTTTAATAAAACTGAAGATTTATTATCCATGTACCTTCTATAGACAGTAAATAAACATTATTATTATTGAATACTTAGCATAACAAAAGGTAGACCTTATTATTTTATTTTATTTTTTATTTAATAAAGTCCCACTGTTTTACATCTTTGTTAATATTTTGACAGTATATGATTTCTCCTTTCACAGCTGCTCTCCCACCATCATCTATGCATAGTTGAGGTAACTCTTTCAAAGCTGTGGAGTGTGACTCAGAGAAATGAAGAAGCCAAGGTCACATAACCAGTAGGCCAGAGATGAATGACACCCCAAATCTGAGGTAGTTTAGCATGATGGTAGCTCCTTCCTTTAGGCAACCCAAGACTATTCTTTAGTCATTATTATTATGTATAAATGTGATGAGATGATCAGGGGGTTCCACTGAATTCCATTTACATGAGAGTAGCTGAGAAGATGAAATTCCCTTTTGAGATTGTCCTACTTCTCTCTTGTGTAACAGGCAACTTGAAAGGTAGCATTTTTCAAACCAAAGTAAACTATGAATACTGATCAGGAGGAAGTTGTTACACAGTTTTAGGGAAAACTAGTCTCACATTGTCAACATCCCAACGTACATGTTAATAAAATACACCTTCCTGAAAATTTGTCTATTTGCCACTTTCCCTTTTCCATAAAAAAAATGAAGAATTTTTTAGATCAATATCCACAAGTGGAGTTTTCAAGAGAAAAAATGTACACAAAATGCCAAGCTCTTTAAAAACTAGCTCCACTTATTTTTCTTCCATCTATATATGACAGTACCAGTTCTTAGGAACCCTCAACCAACACTGTTGTTTGCTGGTTTGGAATTTATTTTGTTTTCATAGAAGAAGTAGAATCTTTTTTTATGTATTTCCTCCTGAGTAACACTGGGCAATCTCCATGGATATGACTTCCCTACAGTTGTGAGTAGAATGGTTATAATACCCAGCCTTTGTGTCATCTTTTCAATTAGCTAGATAATAGTTGACAAATCATTATAAAATTCCAAGCTTCAAATCATTATAAAATTCCAAGCTTCAGTCTCCAAAGTTTTTTAAGGTACAAAATGAGGTAACGGATAGGAAGTATTTTGTATACAGTATAACAGTATCTACTTGTCTTTTTTTTTTTTAAAAAAGATTTATTTATTTATTCATACAGAACTGGGGTACAGGCCAGAGATGCGGAGGGTGAGAGGATTCACCAGAGACAGAATGGGGAGCAGAACAGGAAGATCGACGAAGTAAACTGCTGAGGGGAGCAGCAGGCGGGTCAGGAGAGGTCTGCCATGCCATGTGGATCACCTCCAGGGCAGGCGGGAATCGAACTCATGCGGAAGTGGCCTAAGTGCTGTGCTTTAACCCGCTGCGCCACCAGGGAGGGTCCATCTACTTGTCTGTTTAAATGAAGTAATACTGAGAGTAGAAAAGGGCTCTGGAGTTAAGAGAAACCTAGATTGATATTTTAGTACTGTCATAACTAGTTATATAACCTTGTTCTAGTTATTTGAACTCTCCAAGCCTCAGCGTCCTATACATAAATAGAAATATTACCTACTCACAGGTTAGGATTGAGGGAGGAGTCATTTATAACTCATCAGGCACTTGCCTTTTGAATAACTGGGTGGATGGTGATGTAATCCAAGAAGGTGGACACAGGTTGGAAGGAGTGGATTTATTAAACTTTGGGAGTGATGACTGAAATGATTAAGAATCATATAGGAATTTGAAATATATGTATGAAGATGAGGAAAGAAACTGGATTCAGAGATTTTCATTTGAGGGTCACTGGCACATTAACACCAATGAGCCTGAGTGTGGTAATCCAAAGAAAGCATGAAATGCTGAAAGTAAACCTAGGAAGGGGCTGATGGCCCATCATGGCAGGCAGGTTAGCCACTGCCTGAAGATGAAATAATATGAAGAGTGGTTCACTAAACCTAAGTGAAGTGATAAATTAAGAATACACGAATTTTAATAAGAGTGGTGAAGGCACAGTTTAGTGGGGGAGAATTTCATAAAGATAAGGAAGCAAGAACAGATTTGACAGCAACGGGAAGGAGAGTGATGATGTGGAGGAAAGAAAGGGTGGGTGTGCAAAAGTCAAAGAAGTTTTTTTAACTTGAAAATATTTAAATGTGAGAAGAAATTAGTTGAAATAAGATGTTGAATTTTCCAGAGAAGGAATAATTGCTGGGCCCCTGTTTTGAAAAGGTGTGCAAGACAATAATAGCTCAGTAAAAGTCAGGAAGAAACATTCATTTTTCTCTTAGACAAGAAAAAAGAATGAAATGATAGTTCCAAGCGTGGAGAGAGAAGCTGGAAGCATTCCTTAGGAATGATGGCTTCTACTGTGACAGGTACCATGTTTGGTCTAGTGTCTGGGAGAGATGAGGTTGGGGATTTAAGAAAAATAGCTAAAAATCTGGAATGGCTTTTAGAGAAACAGTGAAGGAAATTCATGAAAGACAAATGAAAAGATTTCCTAAGAAGATTTATAGATCCAGTTAATGTTAAAGATTCAACTGCATAAAATTTACAATTGACAATAATACATGATTTTCCCAAATAGCACCATCTTCATCAAAGCTAATAAATGTTGAAAGTTTTACTGCAAAGCATTCAGTAAAATGAAAGGAATTGTGAGTGCTTCTGGGAGAAGACAAAAATGAATGTTCCTTGGGAAAACAGAGGATACAACAGGAAGTATTCCAAACTGAAAACTGAAGACATAGAAATCTTGATGAAACTGAAAGGCAGTAAGCATGGAATGAAGACGCTGAGGGAGAAGAAGGGTTAGGAAATTCTACGTCTATAAGAGATTTCAGAACATGACATTTCTAAAGTGGATTAAGTCTAAGTGCTCACAGGGCTAGTACCTGAAGAAGTGTCTGCAGTTTAATACACGAGAGTCAAAGTCTAGAAGAGGACACAACCGGGTGGGAGGCAACAATTCTGCAAAAAAGGCTGCAGCCTATGATATTTGGGTTCAAAATCCACATTGGTCTATCTTTCATACACCTTTATATTGACCAGAATATGGAATGTATGTGGAATAAAACTTGAGTCTGAAAAGTTAGCATCTACTGAAGAGTGATTATGAGCATAATCATGTTACCTAAGTTATTTTAATCAATCTTCACAACACATTTACTAAGTAAATAGTAATATTCCCACTTTGCAGATGGAGAACAAAGCGCTTGACAAAGTAACTTGGTCGAGGTTACACGAATGGCAGAGTCAGGATGCAAGTCTTGCTGTTTGGCTCCAAAACTAATGAGACTTGTGTTACTTCCTAAACTTATTTCCAGAACTTGTGAAACAAGTTCTGATGGAAAAAGTTGAAGAGACTTTTTAATATTTCTGGGTCTCTACTTCTTAATCTAAAAGAGGAGGAGAGGTTGCCTTTTCAGTTCTCATAAGCTATCATCACACCTTGTTGTCTAGTGAGATAAAAACAACTTTACCAAAAAGAAAATGCTTAAGCGCATTTAGTGCAAACAATTAAAAAAATTCCTGACCTCCTCCCAGTAAGCTGTTGCATTCTCCATAATGACTTCTGTGGTTGTTAAGTTGTATTCTAATGTCTTATATTCTTGTTTCTGTAAGAAATCCTGTTTCAAAAGAGAACAAGCATGTATTGTAAAACCAGAAGACTAGTGCATCACAACTATATTACACTCTAATAGTGCTGTATCTCATATCATGAATGATTTCATGAATGATAGAAATGATATCTTAGTACCATGAGTTTATAACAGTGTTTAAAGTTCTAAAAATTGCCAAACATTAGAATTCATCATATTTGAAACAAAAACAAAGAACAACTATAAACCAGAGATATTCTATGGGGGTGGTGAGAGGAATAGGATCAAAACTGGGCAGGGACGGGTGCATGGGACAATGGTGATGGCACATGGGTCAACTGGTGGAGGGAAGTCCACGGGATTACAACTAAGATGGGAAAAGGCACACAATGAAGAATGATGTAAAATAAATTCATATATTTTAAAATTTTTAAAAATCATTGTATTTGGAATGCACTCTTTAAACTCTAAAAAAACTGTCTTTACACATTAGATTTTTTTTTTTTTAAAGATTTATTTATTTGTGCATACAGAACTGGGGTACAGGCCAGAGGCTCAGGGGTGGTGAGAGGCTTCACCAGAGTCAGAGTGGGGAGCAGAACAGACAGATCAACAAAGTACACTGCTGAGGGGAGCAGCGGGCGGGTCAGGAGAGGTCTGCCTCGCCATGTGGTCTCCTCCGGGGCAGGCAGGAATCGAACTCATGTGGAAGTGGCCTTAGATTCTCAGTGCTGTGCTTTAACCCCTGCGCCACCAGGGAGGGCCACACATTAGATTTTTAACACACCATTGAGTCTGCCTTGTCCTGTTACATCTCTTAGTCTTAGTGATTAATTTATATAGTATCTCTGAATTACCCATACATGTGCTTTAATTCATCATTAGGACAAAGAGAGAGCTAATGTCTGCATCTTCATAACACCTCCTAATTAGGGGCAGATAAACATCACTTCTCTGGGTTCAGTAATGGTATAAAGATCTGATACAACTGATTTTAAAGCAAGAACCCATGACTCTAAAAGATAGGCATGCTCTTCCTGGGGAAGGTGTTAATATAAGGGTCCATGCATACTGAGGTCTTCCCAAGGAGGTAATGAAAAAAGCCTGCTACTGGCCAAGCTTTAGCTAGACCTTCTTTGCTTTTTTTACTTCTCTTTTACTATTTCTTCTTTGGTTTCTTTCTCTTCCAGGTTTGTTTCCAGTTTTGTGTGTTCTCTATGTATGTTCATGTGCAGGGACTCTTCTATGCCTTTTTTATAAGTCTCTCCCCTTAATAACCCCCTTTCTCCACCATCAAACACACACAGATCTGGTGAGTTAACAGAAGAAACAAAGTAACTCCAAGGACTGCCAAGTTCACTAATACTAATTTGTCTAAATCACAGATCTCAAAATTGCAGTCTTTTCACGGTGCTGTGATTAAAGAAGATGACTGAGGAGATTGTGATGAACTATTTCTGAATGGTGGAGCAGCCACAGATTGTAAGAAAGAAAGAATCAGTTCTCTATTCAATTTTTCAAATGAAGCTGAAGACATAATTTATTTTGTCACACTTCCCAACATTAAATGCAGGAATTAATTCAACTGTTTTTCAAATGTAATAAAAAAAAGTGCCACAATTATTAGCAAATTTTGGTTTAAATTAAAAACTGGCAGAACCACTGAAAAGTGGATTTACCTTCAGTTTTCATTTATATCATAGTGATTTATTTTCTGTATTTCATAATTACATGAATGTTAAAACATATCTAACAAGCCATTCTGATCTGCAAATTAATTATAAAATTCATAACCACACACAGGTTCAAGGTGATGATTTGATTAGCTTTGCATAAATTGAATCTCATCATTGGAGGATTTTAGAACTTCTCTTTAAAGCTACTAGTTACAGCCTTGGTGAAATTTTAAAATAACTAATGTAGCATAAAGTGCCATTCTCATTCATCATACTATCCAGGGAAATGTTTGTAAAAGTTTAAGGTGAACATGATTAGTGTTAGCTTAGTTATTTGTAATCTTTTGTGGTGACTGTTTCCATGTTTTTGCACATTGTTAAATTCACTAGAACTTATTTATGGATTATATGAATAAAATTCTCCAGAATGCAGAGATAACATTTTCTTCAATTTTTTTTTTCTATTTAGAAGAATCTCACTGGTCGTCATTATAGGGACTCACCAGATCACATATAGACATCAAGAGAAGATGTCCTATACAATAAACAGGCCCCAAACAGAGACCTGTAGGATTTCATCTCTACAGAGTCAGCCTTCTAGAAAGGTTCTAGAATGTTCTATAACCATTATGTAAATGTTCGGTCCTGCCACATTACCTGTATTTTGTTTATGGCTCCAATAGAGTCATACCACGATTGCACAGCCCAAGGGAACTGCCGAGTGACTGCCATGCGCAGAACAATGCAGAATGAGATGGTTGTGAATATTTTCCGAAGGACGATTCCTTTGATCAATGCATAGGGAAGCACAGATAAAAACACAACAAAGAATCCTGAGAAGAAGAAAGCTGAGCTATTGAAGTATCTCACATAGGCTGCCTTCCGGGTCAGTTTCAATTCTGTTCTATTAAAAAAAAAATACGATTAGTAAAAAAAAAATTTTTACTTTTCAGTTATTAGACATTATAAAATATAAAGTCTGAAGGTAGGCTGTAGGGGCTTCTCTCTATTTTCTGATTCTTTCCACAACCCTGTAATTTGTGTGACCTTGGGAAAGTTATTTAACATTTCCTGAGCTATCTAAAAGGGAAGAACAATAAATGAACCAGCGACTTGCATATAACACCTGTAAATATTTTAAAATTTAATAATCTCAATTATTATTACTACACTTATAGATTTCTTTATTATTAAAATAAATAATTAATTTTATTATTATTCAATTACTAAAAATAGCATTAATTTTATTAAAATGAGGATTTTGTGGTGGGTTGATAATTTAATCAGTTAAATATGGAAATGAGGACAATGTTCAGTAAACAACCAATCTGATTGTTATCAAGTAGATTTTTCCTGCTTTAGAAATTGTAGCTTGTCTTTGGAGAAAATTAAAAATAACCTAAGCCACAAATTTCTCAAACCTTAGCATGAGTTAAAATCTCCTGAGAGACTTGTTAAAATAGTCTCAGACTCACCTCTCAAAGATATTTATTGAATAAATCTGCAATGGTATTCCAGAATCTGGGTTTTTAAAAGAACGTAAATGATTCTGCTGCAATTAGTTTCCAGTTAGAGGAAAATAGACACTGCATCCTAAGTCTGCCTTTCTCATTTTAGTAAAGTCATTTGTAACCCAAATATATTTTATTTTTGCTATTCTTCTAGTCTGAGTAGCAAATATGAATTTTTTATATATATATATATATATATATATATATATATATATATATATACACACACACACACACACTGATGATAGTTTTAAATGCTCCAACGGTAAGAAAGCAGGGAGTACAGAGGTTGGTGAGAATAGAACACAATGCTGCCTTCAACCTCTGTCCTAACACAGGACCATAAAGCGGGTCCCTGTGACCCTCCTCATCCAGCAACTGCAAGGGAAAGAGCTGCAGACACAGAGAGGGCTTTAAAGGGAGGAGCAACAGTCATACCTAGCACTTGGACGCTAGTTCCACACACTTATGTAACTCAGAAAAACACTTCTCATTCTCAAGTGGCAGAATCCAGAGTGATCCTGAGTACAATGTTGAGGAAAATGGAGCTCATGTGCCCTGCCCAGATTGTGACCACAGTCTAATGAGGTCAAGTCTTATCTTTTACAATTACTTATGGTTTGAGAATTTCGCTGGAGTTTAACCCCCTACCTCTGCCACTGTACTATTTCAAGCAAGTCATCTTTCCTTTGAGCTTACAGAACTTATGAAAGGAAAACAAAACATATCCTTGTGGAGCTGTTAACACAGCAGAGGGCCTGGCACAATGTGTGTCCTTATTCTTCAGAAGGAAAAAAAAAAAAACATACTGTCTAGGTCGATATTAATAAAACCTAGAAAACACTTTATAAAAATGCAACAAATTTGCCCAAATTGTTGTTGAAATGAATTAGAAACAGCTGACAACAGGGGAAGACATAGGACTATAAGAAAAGAAAAATGGTTAGAGAACATTGACAAGTGACCCAGAAATCTACACTTTCCATAATAAAATCACTAACACTTTATGAATCATAAATCTATTTTGTGAATTTCTTATAAAAAAAGTTGAAAATAACTTTATTATCAAGGAACAGATTTTTCAGGGAGCTTTGCAAAGACTTTTGCCCAATTCAACAGTAGCCCATGCTGAGACAATCAACCCTTTGAAGTGCATCCTGCCAGTTTTTCCAGAACGTTGTATTTGCTCTCGAGTAGAGGCAATTCTTACTTTCCCATATTTACGTCAGCACTGTCCAACCTTTTCAGGTAACAATTTCATGCCACATTAAGGAACTGGATTATACAAGCTACAACCAAACATTGAGTATCATAATTGGTCAAAAAGAAATAGAGAGTAAGATGGACAGATTTCATCCTTTGAGGAAGAGGGGGAAAAACCCAAAGTCCAGGTAAGTAAGCACCAAGAATGACCTGACTAGGAGTTACCATAAGGCCTGAGAAAACTGGATCCTATGATGACCTCATTACTCTTGCTATGTCTATGCTTATAAGCATGATTGGACCAGGGGGAAAATGTGATGGAGGAAAAACAACTTCAACCAATGAAGCAATTTCTCCAAGAACTTTAAGCATATTCTGGAAAGTAAAATATAATTCCTTTCCTGGATTTGTCTTATAAGGCATAATAAAAACAGGTGACCAATAGTGTTTGGAAAATAAATACTCTTTTACTCTTTCTATTTACATGGCAAAGGACTTAACATTTCAGCATTTCTCTTGTTGTTCCAATCACACACCTGCAGTTCGGTTACCACTGTCCACTGGAATCAACAGCCTAAATCCCTGGTAACACATATTCATGCCACCTAAAAAGTATTTTTCCTCTTCCTTGTAGGGAAAATGCCCCTGTGAAACTCTCATACGCAATACATCCTGAAATTATTTGCAGTTAACTGTATAGCCAACCTCTCAAGAGTTTCCTAAACCATTTTTATTATAGTTTATTGAACCTGGAACTTCACTAAAGAAAAATGGTCTCATGACTATGGAAATGACATAGTTTATATTTTGCCCACAATTCTTTCAGTGATCCTATCTCAGTCTGTGCTGACTTTTCTTCTGGAGAGAGTCTTTACTAATCAATGAAAGAAAGGTTATCAGAGGTTAAAACAAGACTAGTTATAAGTGGCAGGTAATGATTGTATCTCAGGTGGTAGCTATAATATCTTACACTGACTTCTCAAGTTGGAAGGCTTAATAAACACAATTTATAGACATTGTTCCACATGAAGTTAATAGTGAGCAGACATTTTAACCAAAAAGAGGGATTTTTTTTTCAGAGCATATAAATTAAGTAACATGTAATAGAAAAAAAATCACTTATTTTGTTCAGAATTATGTATTTATTGTAAGTATACATTATTACTATCATTATATATATTTATTATTCTAGAAATTCCATTTAAGACTGCAATCGATTTCCTGCTCCATGATTACTATTTTAACCAAATAAGTATATTAAATAACTATAAACACATACAGGACATTATTCCATAACATACACATATCCTTGAAGTACAAAACAACACATTTGATCAACTATGCAAAATGACAGCACATGAAAGTGATTTTATGTAAATCATGATGAATGTTGACTTAGTTTAATACAACTGTCAGAAACTGAAAAGGTGAGTTGGAAGTTCACTGTGATATACTCATTTTTTAAATATGAAACATTAACTTGCTATGTTGAAAAGTATCAAAATGACTTACTGTCTCAGGTTTTCAATAATTTTTTCCATTGCCTCCTCCCAGCAGTATGCCTTAACAGACTGGATATTGTCAATAATTTCTGAGGTGATCACGAGTCTTTCATTTATCTTCCCAGCTCTCTGATCTCTGTAAATCAAACAATCAGTCAACAAATCTAATAGTTTATGAAAACAAATCAAATTATCCACTAAGAATAGCTCAAGGTTTTAAGAAAAGTCATATTTTCTATTAATAGATGGTAACAAAAATATATGCCATGTACTAAGTGCCTTCAACATGCCAGACACCGTAATAAAGGCATTCCGTATATTATTTCTAATCTAACAGTCTAGAAGAGGTGGTTATCTCCACTTCAAATATTAAAAAGCCAGAAACTCACCTAACTAGTAAGTATGTAAACTGAGATTCAAGCCAAGAGCTAACTCATTCCAAAATCTATATTCTTTTTTATTATACCCTAGTTGACAAACTCGAAGTCATCTATTACAACCAGTAGCTAGTATCACTGACTCATTTTTGCAATTAAAAAAAAAATTAAGTAGGGCTCTGGCAAAATGATCCATGAACCAGAGTAGGAAAAGCTTATTAATTCTATCAAAAATATATGCATTCCCTTCCATTTACATGTCTCATTTATTCTATCTAAATCTTGACCACTGATGCCACTAAAATAACTCCTTTGTAGTGACACCCAGTAAATAAATCACAATTCAGTCTGCAGAGTAGTCCTGGCTTTGCTAGAGTGGTATTTCTGCAAACTTAATTTAAAACCTTTAAAGCTATGGAAATAGTGTTACCTATACTTCATCATCATTCTCCCTAAGCCGGACTGAAAAAGGGCAATGACGATTAGGAAAGCAAGTCCACAGAAGGCAGAGGCCTGTAACAACTCCCAGAGCAACCCCATCAGAAGTGTCACTTGTAAAGGAACAATCCACACGAAATGTGTTGAGGCAAGTCCCTGGAAAATAAAATCATAGTGAAAACTAATACATTTTATCCATCCTCACACCCAAACAAGCACAGACGAAGGAAATCAAGCTCAGTGAGCTTATACAATGAAACAACCCCTGGTTTAGAACATACTAAAACCTAGGTGTTCACTACCTGGAACACAAAGCAATGTCTTAATTAACACTGTGCACATAGGTCAGGATTTCCCAAGGGAAAATTTACAAGTCACTGCATTTTAAAGTGTATTTTTACTTGATGGAATAGAGATTGAACATCTTAGGTATCATGTCAAGAATCTGTTATAAAGAACTTCTATTTGGATAAAGCAAGAGTTCTGGCATAGAACATGCAAGAATAAAAGAATCTCAGGAGGTTTCATCTATTCAATTGCACAACTCTATCATTTTGACGACATCTTCAGAATAAATCACACTCAATTCAACAGTAATTTACTTAATACCTGCTCTGGATCCAGCACTATGTTAAATACGAGAAATGCAAAGATAAATAAAACACTCTATCTGTCCTCAAGGACCTTGTCTTTGTCTGTGACACAGACAGCACTTAACAGGCATTGCTCAGACTATCATACTCAGCCAAAGTAAATAAGTGATTTAAAGTATTAAAGAGAAACAAGATCTGACAAGGATGAATTTTGAAAAACCTTATTAACTACACGGCAAGTCAAGGTGCCTTTGAATTGAGTGGTCCCAAAAAACCCCAGCATGGCCCTCTGCTACATCATTTAGCTTTGTCAGTTTTCAGAAACAGAAAGGTAAGAGTGCATGTAACTTAATTACTTTTAATTGTTACGTGACTTAGAAAACTTTGGGGGTAAGTTATATGATTTATAGCAATAATGCATAAAAGATTAAGTCAGTAGGTACATACTTCATCAAATTTGTTGAGGTTGTTGGAAAGGAGACTAACAAGTTGTCCAATACTTATTTTATCTAGAACACGACTTGACAGCTTTAAAGTCTGAAAGGAAAAGGGGACATTAGATGGTGTTGACAAACAGAGAAAAATGTAAATAACATTACAATAAGCTGATGAATTAGGTTACTATGAATGCATTCTAAGTTAAGGTAATGAAAATTATTTTATATTTTATCTAGCTTAGTATCTTTCCAGGTTTAGAAATATTTCTCTTCGCAACAAATATGGTCTGGAATACCTCACATTATTTTATTTTCAGTAGTGAGAAAATGATAACGATTTTTTTCCTCAAAAGTGGGAAAGAGGGCCCTCCCTGGTGGCGCAGCGGGTTAAAGCACAGCACTAAGAAACTAAAGCCACTTCCACATGAGTTCAATCCCCGCCTGCCCCGGAGGTGACCACATGGCGCGGCAGACCTCTCCTGACCCGCCCACTGCTCCCCTCAGCAGTGTACTTTGTTGATCTGCCTGTTCTGCTCCCCACTCTGTCTCTGGTGAATCCTCTCACCCTCCGCATCTCTGGCCTGTACCCCAGTTCTGTATGAATGAATAAATAAATCTTTAAAAAAAAAAAATGTGGGAAAGATATTGTAGTTACATATTCAGTTACATAATGTGGACAGTATTATTTTGTTTTTATAAAAGAAAAAAAGGCAGTGAAATTTGGGGAAAAAACCTTAGCCCTAAATTTTTCATGTAGCAATACTATTGAATAAAGTACCTTTAAATTCAATAAAAGTATGTCATGAATAACTGTATTACTAATAACTTTGGGAATGATCATATTAAAAATACAAAATCCTAAAAATGTATAAAGAAATATACATACACAAAAATAGAATATCATAAAGTAGATATATGCTTATGAAAAAGATCAGTCATACTTTGCCTGTAAAATTTAATAAGAATTGATATGCCCATTTAGAAGGCTGTGTTTGAAGAGTACCCATCAAATATTTATTTGAAATGAATCTCTCACATAATGTTCGTATTCAATAGAGGAAAAACGCTGTATTCAATGCTTCAGGGATTGTTGCTAAGGTTTATTTAAATATAATTCTCTTTACAAGGCAACTCAGTTACATACAATAAATGAGTTTATTGTCATAAAACGTAATAGGGTAGGTAAAGAAAAAGTTCACATATCTGGTTAAAAGATATGTGATATGTTAAAAGATATTTTATTGAGGAGGTAGAGTTTGAGATAAGTATGTAAAAATAAAGAGTGATTAAATAAGCAGAGATAGGTATGTAAAAATAAAGAATGATTAAATAAGCAGAGATAGGTATGTAAAAATAAAGAGTGATTAAATAAGCAGAGATAAAAAAGAAAACAAGACCATGAATTTCTAAACACTTTCCTGAGAAAGATGGAGGGGTGGGAGGGAATGATTTAGGCACAGACTCAGTCTCAGTTGACTGAGTTTTCCATGAGACTTATCATGGAATTGTGTGCATAGCACGTATTCTGAGAACTTTTCTTAAGTTTGGTTAGTCCCATGATGAAATTCATAGACAAAGCTCAATTTGTATTTAAACTCAGTTTTGTATTCAAACTCACTATTTAAAATATAATTTGGATGTACCACAAATGCAGATTTTAGAACAAAGCAAAACAGTGCTCTAGTACAAAACTGGAATATGGTAGGAAGGTAATGGCTGCCAGCCACATGGCCGGAACTGAGACCAGTTCACTTTCGGCTCCCTTTGGAACCAAGCCAGAGTCACCCGAGATGTCACATTCTGTGGAGAGGATGCCAATATTGGTCAATAAGAGCAAACTAGGTAGGAGCAGATACTGATTATTGAACAGATAACTCAATATCGAGAAAGGAAAACTCCACCAGTTGCTAAATTTTCTTTAACACATGCTAGGTATGAAAGCAGATATAGGCCCTCCCTGGTGGTGCAATGGGTTAAAATGCAGCACTATGAAGCTATATGCAGCCACTGCAGCATGAGTTAGGTCCCTAGCCAGGGGGGTGACCCACATGACATGGCAGACCTCTCCTATCTTTCCCACTGCTCCCGTTGGCAGTGTATTTCAGTCAATCTGCCTGTTCTGCTCCCCATGCTATCTCTGGTGAATCCTCTCACCCCCAGCATCTCTGGCCTGTACCCCAGTTCTATATGTATAAATAAATAAATCTAAAAAAAGCAAGTAGATATATGGCTATTTTTCAGCTAAATGATATATATGGACTTAATAACTCATAAACCTATTATTTTTTATATCCTTTTTCCTGAAGCCCAGAGCACTCACGCTTCACTTTTAATGTATCAGTTTACCATGTTTATCTTATTTTCCCTAGTAGTTGAAAAACCCTCCACTTTAAGGACCATGATTTACACATTTTGGAAATTTGGGAGAAACTTGTATATAATGTCCATGGATTTTAGATTAGGTTCTTAATCATTATATCCATAAATAGGGATAACAATTTCTGTTACAGAGAGTGTTAGGAAGTTGACCAAAATCACTGAAAAGCTTGCCATGTGCATCCTTAGGTCTAGGTTGTAATTATGACAATAAAGTCATTTTATACATACTTTCAAAACTAAATTCAACTTTCTTTTACATGCATTCTGTGTAAGTTCTACATTCTAAATGATACCTAACAATTTCTTCACTTATGTAAGATATCTGGATCAAAATAAAATTTGTTCATTTATCACCATTGCTTTTCTGATACTTGTGAACTGAAATGGCAGCTGAAATGACTTGATTATACTGTGGACTCTGCTTTTTCTTGTGCCTCCATAAAAGGCTTTTTGAACAATCAAGTACAGCTGTCAAGGTTTTACAACACAATTGATCTTGCATTTACACTACAGAAGCATCACAGGCTGTTTGTTAGGGGGGATTTCATATCCTTGTCCCTATATAAGGCAGCTGTATAAAGTTTTTATGTCACAGGAAGATAAAACGAAATAAAGCAATATCCAAATAATTCTATTAAATCAGCTTTCCATAGAGACTTGGCCGATGCAAGCTGTCACCCAAGGTCCGAAATCAGTTGGTGAAAGAACATATCATTGAAACGACCTTAAATTCTATTTTTAAGGTAGCCAGGTATTACTTTGGATTCATCTATAACTATGCTTCAGTACACAAGAAAGGCAGGCAAGATTCATATGATTGCCAAACACATGATGTTCCCAAAATTTTAAATTTGTAGTACTCACAAGATAACAGAAATCTAACCTAAAATAACCTGGTAGATGTCACCTCTATGTCATGAACAGTTATGGTGGAAACTTGTACTTCTTGGGTTATCATTAATAATTATATAATATAGTACACATTTCTTATTGAATATAAAAATCTGAAATACTGAGTCATTTCAGTGGGGAGCCTGTGAATTCTAAAAATGATGACATGACTAGTAAAAAAAAAAATCAAAAAAATCAGGCAATTTATAGAAGGTATTCAGTAATTATTACTTAAAATGAATTAAATTATCAAGAGAAACCAGAAACTAATTACTGCTGCCATTTATTTTATATGCACACAAAACTGACTTCAACACTTATCCCTAACTGGTACCAGAATCACATTTAAAGCATGATGCCACTACAGGTAGCATAGAAACCATACAAGAAAATATTACCTTTTTATAAATCAAACTGAACATAGCTATCCTCATCTGCATTCCAATGTGGTGAAGACCAAAAATGGCTGGGTGCAGAAGCAGTGTCCTCACAATAAAGAGAAGACATAAACCTATGGCTAAGTAAATAGCGATGGACCGTTCCACCTTGTTGTCAGGATCATAGGAAGCTATGATTCTTCCCAGTAAAAGAGGCTGGACTGCTTTGGTGACTTCCTGTAAAAGAAAAAAAAACAGAGAAATTAAGTTTTGTTTCCCATTCATAAAATGTGCTCACAATTTCAGCATAAGAGGTTTCATCTTATGGGAGGATGTAAAATGTGCCTTATGGAAGACCACAGCATTTATGAAATTCTCCAAGTTATTTTTCAAATCTTTGTACTATACTATACTAGACTACACTGTATTATACTATATGTGGAGTACAGAGAAACAAAATAAAGGAACTGACAAAACAAAACCTCCAAAATCTAACTGTCAAATTGCACTGGAGGATTATGTGTGATACAAATAAAGAGGTACAAATCTGTACCTCTAAATCCTATTTAGTGTCACAAATCAATGTTAACTTAATGAAACACAATAATTAATGAAAAACATGAATAACTATGAGCAAAAAGGGGAGTATTTTTCTATATCAACTTCATCCTCTGAAAGAACAATGACAGAGGGCTGCCATTGACTGACCATGGGTTTTGATTAGCTGCTCAGTTTACACTGAATACTCAGTACTTCATTTCAAAATAACTGTAGACAAAGGCACTAAATATCAGAAAATATTCAAATGTTTTAAAAACTTCCCCAACTAAAAATAAAAACCTTTCCCAACTAGTCAAAATCACAAGATAGTGGAGTTTCTTCAGTTCAGTATCCATATCTTAAATTTAAGTTTGAATTGCAGTAAACAGATAAGTACTGGAAAAAAAATTCACTAACCACCTACTCAGATAAAAAATATTTACCATGTCTGTGGAATAGCACTTGTATTCTTAAAAGGATAAGTACATGCAGAAATTACTGTCTGCAGGCTTACATTATTAATGCATGTTTTATACTTTCATTACACATGTATCCACCTCTAGAATATCAATACAGAATTATTTTTGAGGTTTTAAATTTCATATAAATGGTATCATTCTGTGCGTTCTACAATTTTTTAACATTGTGTTTAGATATTTATTCACAGGGGTACCTGTATATCTACTTCATTTATCCTAAGGGCTGACCAACATGACACCCTGTGCATAGATTAGATTATATCCTCCATGACCCTACAGTTGGAGACAGTGCTGCCCTGGAAATTTTTTATTAAGTTTCATATCTATGCCTAACTTTCTCTAGTATAGATGGATTTTTTTTAAAGATTTGTTTAGTTATGCATACAAAACTGGGGTACAGGCCAGAGGTGCAGGGGCAGAGAGAGGATTCACCAGAGACAGAGTGGGGAGCAGAACAGGCAGACTGATGAAGTACACTCCTGAGGGTAGCAGCAGGCAAGACAGAGAGGTCCGCTACACCATGTGGGTCACCTCCCAAGTGGGGATCAAACTCACACTGCAGAGGCTGCGGCTAGCTTACAGTGCTGAATCCTAACCTGTTGCACCAGGTTTTATTTTATATTAACTCCTTAAACTAGGACAATGTGATCAAGATAGATCTTGAATTTAAAATTGTATTTATTAACATTTCTGCATTACAAAATTTTTCACAGTGGTAACATTTTATCCTTACAATTATTTTAGATGAATGTTTAAATCTTCCTAGGATGTTCTGATTTTTTTGTTTTTCATAGACAAATGTCAATACTATATTTACTTTGATTTATTTTTGTATTATCATGTACTATTCTTGATGAAAGTATATGGCTATAGAGAAGAAAGGAGCATTGATAATTAACATGCTACCAGATAAAGTATCATTTATCATTCATTATATTATAAGATAAAAATCTAAAGAAGAGAACTAGCGCTGCTACTCATTAATTCAATTGCTTATATCATAATTAGCGTAAACACCTTTTTCCCTTTTCCAAATCTATATGCTTATTTTCCTAATAGATATATCAAACAATACAGTACTACTAATAACACCACATTACACATTTCTAAGGAGTATCTTCTATTTATGGAATGGCCAAAAGAGTATTTTAAGGAAGAGAGCTGTTTTATCAACCTACTAGTACTCAAAATTTTTAGTTACAAATGTACATATGTAAGTTTGTTTTCCTACTGAGTAATCTGAACTAAACTCGCTGCCACTATATTGCCATAATTTTTTTCATACCCCATCATCTCTATCACAAAGGCCCATTAGCTGAATTGTTATTCACTTGGCATTTATAGTAAAATAAAAGCATATTAATTTGATTGGACATTTTACAAATTATCACTGAATTAATTGTCATCTTGTTTCAATTGAAAGAGGACATATTCTTCTTTTGAACTACAATGGCTAGTTCACAAAGATCCTGGTAGAATTAATCTGGGACAATACATGCTCACTGAAACAAATTAGTTTATTGTGGGAAGAGAAAATTCTAATAATAGGAGCATCTGCAAATAGCATCCAACTTAAATCTCACCATTATGGAACTGTTAACATTCAAGGACAAAATTAGCACTCCAACACCCCTCTCAGTAGTTTCCCCTAGTCTCTTATAAGCAGCATGTTCCCTAATATTTACAATAGAACCATTTACAGAAATCACCTGATTTTTTAATTTGAAGAGTGAAACAACAACAATTGATAACTTGCTTAATCTATGAAGTACAAGCCTTTACACAAAGCATCCCTGTAATGACTAAGAGAAACAAAGTCCTATATTTTTGGCCTATAACTGTTACATGTACCTTGTTACTCAGGCTATTTTTAAAGATACAGACATTTTCAGACACAGGGACATCTGCTTTCGCTGGATATTGAAACCATGAAAGAAAGTTCAGATGAAAATAAAACACTGGTTTGTATTAAATAAATTAATCCCAAAATGACTTGAAAATCATAATTCCATGTCCCAACCATTAGTTGTTCCGAATACACTTAGAGGATTAAAGGACTTCTAAAGTTACATTGCTTTCTATTGTGTGTTGTTCACAAAATCATGATCTCCATTCATTTTAATTATATTTGTACCAAGAATTCTAGGACATTATTTAAAATTCAAATACTGACAGGCTATATGTCCTCATATTGAGAACTTAAAAGTATACCAATAGACTATCAAGCTCTTATCTTAATAACAACTGTAAAAATATCTGTAAATTTCCAATATCTGCTTTTGATAAATGTTCTAAATAAACTCAAATGTGTGTATGTGTGCGTGTGTGTGTTGTTAGCCCAAGAAAGAAATTTTTCCTCAACATGATAATCACCATAATTAACACAACTCTGGAGGCATTACCTTAACAGACAGAAAAACAGAAATAAATACAGGCTATTACTAAAATTTACCATTTTTTTGAAACTTTTATCAGTGTTACTCAACAAGAAAAAACTTTGATGTATAAATACTGAAGTGAGTAGTGTTATAATAAGCATAGAAAATGATTTTCTACATAACAAATTTGAGTCAAGAGTTTAGCAAGTAAAGGCTTAAAAACAATCATACATTCCAGTATACCAAGCCTAATAATTTTACAGTAAAAATATAACAGAAGATACAATGCAAAGATCAGTGTTTATATGTGTGTATATGTGTGTGTGTCACAATATATTTTATGAAACATTACTGACACATGACAAATAAATGGAGAAATTTAAAAACGAAAACTGAAAAACTGAATATTAGAAGGATCACACTCTTCTCTTCTAAGTTATTTATAAGATTGATATATACCTTTCATAAAAATTCCTAGTAGGTTTTTGGAAAGTGAACTTTTAGCACCATAAAAGCAGGGCTATCTGAACTTCTGCAACAATTCCAAAGTCACTACAACAATGCACAATGCTTGCCACAGAACACCCACTCAACAAGTATTTGCTGAAGCAATGGATAAAATGATTCTAAATTTCTTTTACAAAAACTGAGAGACTAATCAAAAGCATTTGAGAAATAAGAAAAATATATGAGAGGGTTTACATTACTGCATATTAAATCACATTACACAACTATAATAATACACGATGTAACAAAGAAATTTACTGATTTATCTGGAAAGTACAGGAACAGGTCCACGTACATGTAAAAAATTAACATATAATAAAAAACTACATTTTAGTTCAGTGGTGACAGGCTGGATTATACAATAAGTATAACTGATAAACTAGATATTTATTCTTTAATTAGATTTTTATCTATACTTACACCAAAATAAGTTCCAAATGGAGTAATTTTTTTCCCTAAAAGATGAAACAATAAAAACTTATAGATGTGCTTTTATAATAACCAAGTGGGGAAGACCTTTAAAAATGGCTGATTCTAAAAAAAGAAAACAAAGATAAAGGTATATAGGCTTGGCAGTAAGTGTTTAAAAATTAAAACTTCGGTTAAAAATAAAATATTGCTAGAAACAAGAAACGGACTGAGGGATTGATTCTCTCATAATCAAAAACATCAAAAAAAAAAAAGATGAAGTGTGCAAATGGTAATACACACATAGCAAAGGACTCATGCAAAATTAATATATAAATAGGAACCAAAAGTTTAAACAGGAACCAAAAGTTTAGCAAATAAAATTAATATTGTCTTTTTTTACTTAGCAATTTGGAAATACTTTAAACATGATAATATATATTATTGGTGATCACAGATCCTTTGTTATTTAGTAGTAAGAAAGTAAATTAGTAATCTCACTGGAAAGTAATTAGAAAATCTACTAATATTTAGCTTTGGATGTGCATTAAGGGTTGTTTACTAGTATGAATATTACCAGCACTATAAATATTCAATGATGATGAACTGCCAAATTATGGCTCAGCTATATAATTCATTGAGCATTAAAATGATTATGAAGAAATACATCAAATGACATTCTCAATATATAAAAGGCATTCTCAATACATCAAGAGAAAAGGCAGATTTATAATACATTATATCAAGTAACGACCCCTGCCATTTATTAATTATATATTCTCATGGTAGAAGGAGCCCACAGATATTATGGGATCACTATACCTACGTTTGAGGAGTCCAAAGTTATACTCAGATTTTTCCACTGCACAGGCGACAGCATCCCTAACCCTCATGTTGCTCAAGGGTTAACTGTAAACTGAGCAAC